ATTTGGCCATGTGATTCATAATAAGCTATGGGTAATCTTAAGAAGAATGGGGATTTTAGTATATCTAATTATGTTTATACAAAAACCTATATGTAGACCAAGAAGCTATTGTCCAAACAGAATGGGGGAATACTGCGTGGTGTAAAATTGATAAATGTGTGCATCAGGCTTGTATCATCTCTCCATACTTATTCTTTCTGTATATTTGTTAGGTTTTTTGAAGAGAAGTGTGTCATTAGGATTAGAGAAATGCTCATTAACAACCCATTTTATGCAGACAATACAACCTTGCTTACTGAAAGAGAGGAAGACCTAAAGTGCTTGCTGAAGAGGACCAAAGACTGTAGCCTTCAACATGGATTACATCTCAACATCAAGAAAAATTAAAATCCTTACCACGGAGCCACTAGGCAACACCATGATAGATAAAGATTGAGGGTGTCAATGATTTTATCTTGCTTAAATCCACAATCAACACTCTTGGCACCAACAGTCAGGAGATTAGGATACATTGACTCATGAACAACCTATGTTATGCAGATGACATAACCTTGCTTGCTGAAATGAAGGAGAACCTGAAGCACTTGCTGCAGAAGGTAAAGGACTGTGGTCTTCAATATGGACTGAAGCACAACATCAAGAAGACAAAGATTCTCACCACTGGGCCAATTGGCAGCACCATGATGGATGAAGAGATTGAGGTTGTTAACAATTACAGCTTGCTTGACTCCACAATCAACACTCTTGCCACCAGCAGTCAGGAAATCAAAAGATGAATTACATTAGGTAAATATGCTGTCAGGGACCTCTCCAGAGTACTGAGAAGCAATGATGTCAATCTAAGGTGTGTGCCTGATCCAGTCCATGTTCTTCACAACTACACGGTATGCATCAGAGAGCTGGACAATGACTAAGAATGAATTCTAAGAAGAAGAATTGATGCCTTTTAGTTGTGGTGCTGGAGAAGAGTCTTGAACATATTATGGACTGCCAAGAAAACAAATAGGTCTGTCTTGGAAAGGGTAAAACCAAATTTCTCCTTGGAAGCTAGGATTTTGAAGCTCCACCTCACATACTTTGGGCATGTGGCCATGAGGGATAAGTCCTTAGGGAAGGACATCATGCTCAGAAGGTTGGAGGGACAGCATAGGAGAGGAAGACCCTGAATCTGATGGATTGATACAGGAACTGGGACAATGGGAGTAGATGTGTTAGAGTCAGTAAGACTGGCTTAGGACATAGCAGGCTTCAGAGCTGTTGTATATAGGGTAGCTATGAGTTGCAAGCAACTTGATGGCACATAACAACAACATAGCATCAGGAAAGTCTGCTTACAAGGAGCTCTCCAAAGCTTAAAGAGCAATGATGTCACATTAAAGACTAAAATGTGCCTGATTTCAAGCCACAGTCTTTCCAGTCACCTGCTATGCGTCTGAGATCTGGAAAATGAATAAGGATGATAGAAAAATCAAAGCATTTAAGTTGTGGCCTTGGAGAAGAGTGTTGAACATATTCCATGCACTGCCAAAAGAACAATCAGATATGTCTTAGAGAAAGTGCAATCAGAGTGATTCTTGGAGACAGAGATGTTGAAGCTTTGTCTCATATGTTGTTGTTGTTGTTATGTGCCGTCGAGTTGCTTGCGACTCATAGTGACCCTATGTACAACAGCTCTAAACTCTGCTCTGTCTTATGCTAATCTCATTGCCTCCGACACACTCATCCCGATTGCCCCAGTCACCAAATCAATTCACCTCCCAGAGGGCCTTCCCCTCCTGTGCCTGCCCTCCACCCTCCCAAGCATGATGTCCTTCTCCAAGGACTGGTCCCTCCTTACAACATGAGCAAAGTATGTCAGATGAAGTCTCAGAATCCTTGCCTCCAAAGAGCAGACCGGTTTAACCCTCTCCAGGATGAATATGTTTGTTTTCTTAGCAGTCCATGGTACCCTCAGCACTCTTCTCCAACACCAAAGCTCAAAAGCATCAATTCTCGGCTCTCGGGTGGATGCTGCTGTGTCAGCACGCGGGGGCCCGGGTTCGAACTCAAAATAAACTTTGTTAATCTGGCTAAAAAAAAAAGCATCAATTCTCCTTCTATTTTCCCTGGTCATTGTCCAGATCTCTGACGCATAACGAGTAATTGCAAAGACCATGGCCTGTACCAGACACACCTTAGTCTCCAGAGATACACCGTTGCTCTTCAGTACTTTAGCAAGGTCCCTAACAGCAGACTTTCCCATCGCAATACGTCTTTTCATTTCCTGGCTGACATATTGTTATAGGAGAGACTATTTTTGGGAAGGAACATCATGCTTGGAGAGGTGGAGGGTCAGAAAGAGAGAGGAAGATTGTCAACAAGATGAATTGATACAGTGTCTGTGGCAATGAACTCAAATGTATTAAGGATGATAAGCCCAGCACAGGATAAGACAGAGTGCAAATCTATTGTTCACAGGGTCACTATCAGTCAGATTTGATGGGACCACACTTAACAACAAAAATAAATTGATGCTTTAGGAAAACATTATAAACTCTTTATTGTACAATGTGGGATTAGTTTTTAAACTATTCCTTGTTACTGCTTCTATAATGGATTTGGTCAAAATACACCTTGAGAAAACGCCCAGGAACACTTCAGCTAACTGCTACTATTATGTACTGTCAAGTTGGAACCAATCAATCCATAGCGTTGACGCTCCAGTGGACTTTCAGAGACAATTACTTGCACAGGAGGAACTAGCCTGTCTTTCTCCTGCAAAGCAGCTGGTGGATTCGGACCATGTGCCTTTGGGTTGGCAGCACAGCTCCTTACCAGTAAGCCACCAGAGATAGTCTCCCAAATAACAGTTACATTCAAGGGTCTAGTGCCCAGAAGGTGCTGCTCACCTATCCTCAGGTGAGGGATCTGGTTCTTCTAGGTAAAAGGAACATGCCATGCAATTATGCTTTTGGTGTTCTTTTTCTTTAATTTTATTTTTTATTGATATTTTAACAAAAGTTTAAAAAAACTTAGATTTCCATTCATTCATTATTGCATATTTTCCTCCCTACTCCCATTGTTGTTGTTGTTAAGTGCCGTCGAGTCGCAGGTGACTCAAAGTGACCGTATGAAGGAGAGTCCTCGACGTTTGGGTGTCTTTCATCCTCTCTCCAGGTTCATAGGGTTTCCAGAGGCAAGCTATTACTGAAGGGGATGCCACTCCTCCTTCCAACTACCCCCATTACTGTTTGCTTTTCTCTTTTAAAAAATTCTTTCACTGATGCACAATTCTCCCCCCCACCCCCAGTCCACTTTGCTATGCAACCCTTACTCTTGATTGTTCTCATGCAAATAGTACCTAAACATATATTCCTTTTAAGTAGTTCTTTCCCTCATCTGTTTAATGCCGTGTTCATTATTTATTCCTTCCCTTCTTAGTTTCCCTCCGGTCTCCATGTCAGTCCTCTAGATTTATAACAGTGGCATTATGCAATATTTGTCCTTTTGTGACTGACGTATTTCACTCAACATAATTATGTTCTTTTGTTACCTTTTCCCTCCTTTCTACTTGGTAAGCCATTCTGTTACCTATTGTCCCTTAAGTAGACTTCACAAATGCTGGCTGCTAGTGGGAGAGTCAGAAGAGCAAATAAATCAGTCTTTGAAGAAATACAATCAAAATACTTCTTAGAAGCAAGGATAGCCAAGACTATAGCTCACTTATTTTGGACATTTTATCAGGAAAGACCAGTCTCTAGAAAAAGACATCATGGTTGATGAGAAGGAGAGACATCTTCTATGAGTTGGATTGACAGAGTGCCTTAAATAATAAGTTAAAAAATAGCATTGATCCTGCAAGCCTCCAGCATGCTTGGGTCTGGAGTGACCCTATGCATTCTTACTATGCTTTCCAGAGCAGTGTTGAAATGGTTTGAGGCCTTGTTCTGCACCATCCATGGAGCAAAGTTATAGACATTTCAGACAATTAAAAAAAAGAGAAAGAAATAGCATTAATCATGAAGATGGCACAGGACTGAGTACCATTTTATTCTACTTTACAAGACTCTTCCATGAGTCTAAATCAGTTCTGCAGAAACACGTGTGAAGGTGTATGAGGCTTTGTTGGACATATGATCCAAGAAGGGGAGTCGAAGTTTAGGAAATAAGATACTTGTGGGAAGTGGTGAGGTTTTTACTTTCCTGAAGTTTTTGCTCTCCTAACCTGTCCTATGGTAGAGAATCTTTGTTACATTCTTTGAGTATCAGCAAAGAGTCTACTTTTATCACCAAAGTCTGTGCTTGCTCCATATGGACAATGCCACCAGAGAGCATTACTAGTCCACTAAGAAGCAGTATGTCTGGCTAAGATGAGTAGGAGGAGCTCTGGAGTCCATAGGTAGTTGGCACACCTCTCTGGTGGTTAGAATTTACCAGCAGCTCTGCAATAGAAAGGGGGTAAGCTAGCAAATCCCAGAATATTCCATTATACTTCTGGCTTTCTCTTACCCAGTGCTGCAATTAAATCTGGTCCATGAATGAATGATGTCATGATAAGCCTTCTTTAGCACATTGCTTCTACCAGCCCCTCTGCTCTATTCTTTTCATTGTCTTGTTAAGCTTTTCTAACTCTGTACTTCCTCTTGACCCATCTCACTTCCTAAAACATTGTAAAGAGGGTTGTTTATCTTGATGGAGCTTAACAGTAAGCAGCTTTTCTGAGCTTTTCTGTCTGGGGAACTAAGAACAGTGACATTTTCAGATTGAAGCTACATAGATGCATGGACTCCAGGGAAGCTGGACATGATTGCCCTATGATGGGTACGACCTAAGGAGAGAGGAATCTCCAAAAGAGCACACGCCCCTCCCAAAAAAAAGAAGATAAAGAATGAATAAGCTGTGAGTATTAGACAATTGCTACCCTTGATCTCCAGGAAGATGCCTGGCAAGAGATAGGTTGATTTGACCACCCGGATCCTGCTAGCAACCTGTTACCTGGGAGGCTGCTCTGTGCTCGTGAGATGACTGTCAACAGTATGACCCTGACGTTGCCCAGCATTACCTACATCATTGTGGAGATTCTAATTGGACTCTGTGCCATAATAGGCAACGTGCTGGTCATATGGGTGGTCAAGCTGAACCCCAGTCTGCACACCACCACCTTCTATTTTATCGTTTCCTTAGCTCTGGCTGACATTGCTGTTGGGGTGCTGGTAATGCCTCTGGCCATTGTCATCAGCTTGGGCATCACAACCCACTTCTATAACTGCCTTTTCATGACCTGCCTGTTGCTGATCTTCACTCATGCCTCCATTATGTCCTTGCTGGCTATTGCTGTGGATCGATACCTACGAGTCAAGCTCACTGTCAGGTAAACCGTTTGAATAGAGGTGGAGTGGGAGAAGTGATCAAGATTTCTGGGAAATAGGACCAGAGAGTTCAGATTATATATATAAAATGAAAAAGAGTAATACCCCTGAGCTTGAAGAGGGACAATCTTTTCCCCCAAAAGCTGGTCTGTGAAGAGTTTATGATTGTGAGCCAATGTTAGTTCACATTTACTTTTTATCAGCAACTGTTATCCATCTCCATGTAGAAATGAGTATCTGCTTGATTCTTTAGGGTAGCTAAAGATAATGAATGCTTGATGTGACTTTAATTAGTAAAGGGCTCTTGAGTTTTAAAAAAAATTCTAGAAATCTATATAATAAGCAGGCAGATAAGAAGGGCTAGACTGAGGATTCTATTGTTTTATTTTAACTTTGCATCCTTTTTAATGGTCATTCCCATTTTGAGAATCTTTACAATGACTGTGTGTGTGTTTCTTTTTCTCCTCTTTTCCCTTTTTCCTCTAAGATGTAAGAAGTATTTCCCAAAATAGTTCTTCATCGTGAAGGTAGTACCAATGTTTTGTGGGACTAAGTCAAGAAAACAGACAGTTACATGGAGAAATCCAATTCTCCAAGGATCCTGAAATGTGTCCATCTTAGGGAAAGAGGGTAATTAGGATGTTACAAATTTTAGATGCAAACAAGTCTATGTTCAAATACCAGAATCCTGGAATCGCGTGGATGAGTTGTTTAATTTTCTATCCCTCAGTCTTCCTATCATGGTAGTTAAGACACTTTGAACTAAGTATGTACCTGGTTTCAATTTTAATTCCACCACTTCTTGGTTGAACAAGTTATTTTAACTTGCCTGTTTCATTTTTTTTGTCCTCTATAATTGAGTTAAAAATTATTCATAGAATTAAATGGGTTAACCTGTGTAAAGTTTGTAGAAAATGCCTCTTATACCATCTCTGCTCAATAAGTTATGGTCACAACTACTGTTATTTTTTTATCACTACCACCAAAAAAATGAAGATTATCAGAAAAATGTCTCTAGTTACTCAGATGCTTTAATTGAGATAAAGATCCACAAAAGGACATAGTAGGAACTAAAAAACATCCATTTCCTTCTTAGAGTCTGTGTATGGTATCACCAAGAAGGATTACTTTTTGTTGTTGCTGTTGTGTACCATTGAGTCAGATCCGACTGACACAGGAGGAGATTGCACCTCCTTCTCTAGTGGAGCATCTGGTGGATTTGAACCATGCTCCTTTGGGATTGAAAGAAGGATTATTTAAGAAAAGTTGGTGACACTTATTGGGTGACACTTTCAAGGTTCTTGACTCACTTCAACACAGCCTTTGCCCATTTAACTCAAAAGCTGAGTTTGTATACCACTCACTGCAGGAGTAGATATAGGTAGAAAGAAAGTGTAGGGAAAATGTCCTTTTGCTTTATGACTATTAATGTAACAGTCAAACAGTGCACAGCACAGCAGGTAACCATGTTTTGATACCATTTCTTACCAGATAGACGATCCTAAGAGACTTAGATAAATCTTACCTTCAAGGAATTGAAGACTTTTGGGGCTGGAAATCAGATAATGAGTAAAGAATGCAAGTATCTTACTCAAGAACCGTATTCCTAATTCATTCTACATAGCACTTCTTAGGGAAAAATACCCCTTTAGAAGTTGGCTGTTTCCCCCCCACCCCTACGCCCTTTTAAGTCACTGTTCATCTTGTTTTCATATCTATTGGGAGGTTAGTTGTAGTCACCAGAGAAAATTCAATAGGAATTTCTCTCAACACAAGATTGAGTAATCAAGAGAGCTCATGCTTTGTCTTTTTATATCAATCACTCTTTTGCTAGTTCCATCCCTCCCAAGCTTTTAGCAACTCCTACCATGAACTCATTAGCTTTTTTCCCTTCAAACAGATACAAGAGGGTCACCACTCAGAGAAGAATATGGTTGGCTCTGGGCCTTTGTTGGTTGGTGTCATTCCTGGTGGGACTTACACCCCTGTTTGGTTGGAACATGAAACTGATCACAGAGTACAGAAATGCTACCTACATCCCCTGCCAGTTCTATTCCGTTATGAGGATGGACTACATGGTCTACTTCAGCTTCTTCACCTGGATTTTGATCCCCCTGATTGTCATGTGTGCAATCTACTTTGACATCTTCTATATCATCCGGAATAAACTTAATCAGAACTTTTCTGGCTTCAAAGAGACAGGTTCATTTTATGGAAGGGAGTTCAAGACTGCGAAGTCCCTTTTCTTGGTTCTCTCCTTGTTTGCTGTGTCCTGGCTGCCTTTATCCATCATCAATTGTATTACCTACTTTCATGGTGACGTACCACAAGTTGTCGTTTACTTGGGCATTCTGCTGTCCCATGCTAACTCCATGATGAACCCAATCATCTATGCTTACAAAATAAAGAAGTTCAAGGAGACCTACCTCTTGATCTTCAAAACCTGTATGGTTTTCCAGTCCTCACATTCTTTGGATCCAGGCAGTGAACAGAGTTCTGATTTAGTTATCCAAGGAAGATGACATTTAACTTTACAATCTTCCGATACTTGAGAGACCATTCATCTGTGCCAGGGGCTTTTTCCAAGCCGTGATTCCTTCCACTGAGATGGGGAGCACTTGACTGGATGCCTCAAATTGTTCCCTCTTCCTCTGATGCCATTTTCAAGAAGTCTGACTTCATAACATTGTAACATTTTTGCTACCAGCTCCTGTGATTCTCCTTCTTGTCCAGAAGGAACAGTCGTGGAGACTGAAGGATGCCTCCTTCACTTACTTGCCAAATGGCCATGTATGTGGTAATGACTTAGTTCTACTCCATTGTAACATTTGAGAACCCTGCTCTCAGTGTGGATATCCAGGAGATGCTGGAAGCTCAGTGTATGGAAAAACCTAAGCTGCAGAATCACCTATGAATATATTTGAATAAAAAAAATAATTATAGCTAATTATTGTGTATAGCTATTTGTTGGCATTCAAGATCTCCTGGGGTTTGGACATGGAGCTGATTGCTCTGAGCACTCAGCCTGTTTACTACCTATAGCCAGCCACGTTGGGCGTCCACCTGTGTGAATACTGGATGTTTTGTCTCTCTTCCCAGAACATTTTGCCCCTTGTTCCAGGGCTGATCAGAGCATTCTCCACTTTTCTGAGTCATCTTTTTACTGTTAGAGAATGAAAAGGTACTGTTTCTAGAACCCACTCCTAATAATTTATCCTGGTAATTAATTTTAATAAGAGCGATGGGAGCTCTGGTGTTGTAGGCGGTAGGTAACACTAACTCCAAGATCCCACTGCTCTGACGGTGTAAATCGACTGGTTCTGAGGATGAAGACGGGCATTCTCCTCCCCTATAATTTATAAACAATGGTCCTTATTATTTACTGAGGGCTTACAGAGAGTTTCACTCTGGTGACCTAGTCAGCACCCAGTTAGCACTGCTATGCTAACCCAAAGGCTTCACATCTCCAGCAGCTTGAATACACCAGGCACCTCAAGGTGGGCAATCTCTTCTTACTGTGATATTAAAAAAAACACCAACAAACCAAAACAAAACAAAAAACAAACCAAACCCCTCATTACTATAGAGGAAGAGCCGACTCAGAGTTGACCTCCAATCAATTTTCAGAGATGTAAATCATACAAGGGGAAATTGCTCATCTCTCTCTGGTGGATTTGAACTGCATGTCTTTGGGTTGGCAGTGCAACTCCCTGCACAATGGAACTCCCAGAAACCCAATGGAAGATCACCATGAGTCAGATTTGATAGCAGTGAGATCAGCAAGCACGCATTCACTTCTTTTTGTCTTCTTATCGTTGAGCGCTGTGGTGGCTTATAGTTATTGTTCATCCTGTTCCAGCTCCTGGTGACAGCGGGATGAAGGCTGCCTGATGATCCTTCTAACTCTTCTCATCTCCACTGAGCTGAGAATTGAGGAAGAGAAAATTAAGATGCAGAGAAGTTAACTGACTTGCTCATGATCTATACTATTACTCAGTAGTAGAACCAGAATTTAAATGCCGCCCTACCTTTCTTGAGAATCAGTGTTTTATACCAGCTGCTCTCAGATGTGAGGAGGAACTTTAACTTCTCCAAAGTCCACACCAGCAAGTTTACCTTATCTAAAATTGGCAGATAGATTGTATGAACCATAGTTTGTATGGTCAAAGGCTGCTGGGGTTAGGCCTTAGCTACAATCTAAGTAATCAGGCTACAGGATAAGAACAGCTCACAGGGCCTGTCATGTCATTTGAACATGGAATATGATGTCAGATTCAAGGTGGCATCTTTGGTTTAATCTATCCACAGTTGCAACTGTTGGTTCTCACTCCTAGGACAAAATATTTCAGCAAGAACAAAAGCCGGAGATCTCAATTATACAAAATGAGACAGGAAACACTTAAAACTCAAGCTAATTGCCATTGAGTTGGAAACAACTTATAACTGACCTTCCATTGAGCTTCTGAGGTTGTTAATCACACAGGAGAAAACGGTCCATCTTTCTCTTTGGAAACCTCCGGTAGATTCAAATTGCCAGAGAGGTGTGGCCTTTGGATTAGCTGTGCAAATATCTATGGACTAGATCACCAGAGTTGGATAAGTGAAGTGGTCAGGAGTTGTACTCTCAACCCAAAGAAACACAGTTCAAAGCCACCAGCTGTTGTGTGGGAGAAAGAAGAGCAATATCTCATGCAATTTACTGATTCTGAAAACCCTCTGGAGGGTCAGGTATGAGTTGGTTCCAACTTGATGGTACACAGCAACTAACACCAAACCACATTTGTTTCTCCTGCTGTTCCCTCCCACCCTAGTAATAGTATTCTTAAGAACAGAAGTTTTGAAGGAGAGCTCTGGTGGCCTAGTGGCAGGGAGCTGCAATTGCAATCCCAGAGGCGCATGGTTCGAATCCACCAGATGCTCTGCCGGTGAAGTAGGGACAATCTCCTCCTGTACCAGTCAGATCTGATTTGAAGGTACACTCACACAAAAATAATAAAATTTAAAAAAAATAGAGGTTTTGAAAAGAAACTATTGTCCCCGTTAGTGCCTGGAAATGGAATATGATTCCTGACAACTTTCCACTATTTAACAAAATTCTTTTTTAGTATTTTTAAAATTACTATTTGTGTCTGCAGCATTTTGTAAAATCTGTTCTTTTAAATTCAATTAAAATAAAAAAAACCTTTATTAATATATTGTTGAATTGAGAGGAAGCGCCCTTCTGTTCTCAGTCTCAGGATAATCTTGTATCACTTCTTCATTTACTGACAAACTCTAACCAAGTTGCCTTAGCAACATTTAACACCTGCCCTTTCTGGTAACTTGACTTAAAGTAACCACTTCCTTCAGAACAAAACAGCAGTCCTTCCCAAGAAGACATGTGTCATTGGTGGCATTAAACAAGCTATAAAACGCAAAACTCACTGACATGAAGCTAGAACTTACTCTTCAAAGCTGACGCTGCATTGGTTTCTGAGGCAGTAAATTGCAAGGCAGGAGACTGCTCATCTTTCTCCCAAGGATAAATGAATTAAATGAATTAAAATTCTGCTACAGAAAGGCGCAGTCTTTTTGGTTAAAAGCAGCTCACTATGGACTATTCCGACTTTTGGTGGCCTACTGACAAGAAGCTATGCTGCAATCCGAAAGGCACATGGTTCAAATCCACCAGCTATTCCATGGGAGAAGAATGGGCAATCTTCTCCCATGCGATTAACTGTCTGTGAAAACCTGCTAGAGAGTCAACTATGGGTTGGTTCCAACTAAGTGGTACATTAGGGTTAGCTATGGGTTGATTCCAACTCGATGGTCCACAACAGCATGGACTATACCACTAGGACTCCCGAGACAAGTTGTAGCCTCTAAGTTTAAAAAAACTGCCCCCTTCCTATCTCCTCCACTTCTTTACCTCTGCTTTATTGCCAGTGTTTATGAAATCTACTGATAGTTTACAGAATGATGTTTTCTGTCAATTGGTAGTCTCCTAAGATAATGTGCTCTGCCAGCCCAGAAGAAACCCTAAAAGTGGAAATTTATTTAGCATCAGAATAAAAAGAAAAAACATGAACCAAGAGTCACTGTTGAGGATCTTGACTGGAAGTGGCGAGATCCACCCTGGTTTCGGGTTTAGCGATTAACCTCACAGAGATCTCCTGGTTACCACCCTTTCAGTTCAACAGTGAAGGGTAAACGGTTCAGCTTTTATTCCAAAGGAATAAAGTAAGAGAATACTTAAACAAAACCCAGTATTTTCTTCCTCCTTTTACACAAAATTAACTGAGACAAAAGTAGATGTTGAACCTGTCAATGGATAAGTGGATAAACAATGGCCATACTCCCAATGGAATACTGTGTCATGTTAAAGAATAATAATGGATCTGCCACAAAACATCTCACAAGAGGGAAATAAGTAAAACAAACAAACAAACAAAAAACTAAAGGACAAATATTCTAAGAGTTCACTATTAGAAAAAGTGTGTGTCTTGGAGGGTGGGGAGGTTTTGGACACAGAAACAGTCTATGATAGTTACCTGAATGGGAAGAAGAGGGAGGAAACAAAACCCTCATTAGCTAGATCGTAGACATATAGTCACTTGGATGAAGGAAAAGGCAAAACCCAATAACGGGAAATAAGCACAACTTGGCTAAGGCAAAGGAAGATACTGGGAGGTTTGTAAGAGTTGATGGCAACAACAGTAAATCCTACTACATACACAGTCTTGCAATAATAACAGTGATAATAAACAGCAACTTATGAATGGGTGTATAGACAGATATATAAAATTTAAAAAAATGTGAGTGCATTCACGAACATATGTAGGTTTGGCAGAGCATATCTGTACATAGGTATTTGTGTGTGCTACAAATACGTCCAGGAGCTCCGGTGGCCTAGCGGATAAGCAGTTGTGCTGGCAATGAGGAAGTGGGGTGGGCCCAGGAGAAAGGAAAGGAAAAAAGTTTTCTGACATTCAGATCTAAATGTGATACCTTGATTAGGGAGTCCTGCTGGAGGAGGCATAGGGAGTTGAGTTGCTAACCCAAAGGCTGCAATTTTCTGGCAGTTTGAATCCACAAACTTGATGGCCAGTCCCTTCCATGCAATTTACAGCCTTCTGGAAACTCGCTGGAGGGTCAGTTGCGAGTTGGTTCTAACTTGATGGCAATGAGAGAGTGTAGGATGAATAAAGAAGAGAAAACATGCCCTATCCTGTGTCATCCTCACCGCCTCTGCCATGCCCGTTGCTGTACTCACAGTGTCAGTCCATCTCATTGAGAATCTTCCTCTCTTTTGCTAACTCTTTACTGTTCTGAGCATGACGTCATTTTCAAGGACTGGCACCTCGTGACAACATTTCCAAGCACGTGAGATGGAGTTTCACCAGCCTTGCCTCCAGTTAGCACCCTGGTTGTACTTCCTGCAAGACGGGTTTTTTTTTGTTGATGTTCTTTTGACAATCTTTGGCCACACTCCAATTTAAAGACATTGACTCTTTGGTCTTCCTTATTTACACGTGCATATAAA